AGTGCATTTCAGATACCAGTTATTTCATAAATGTGTAAACTTTCATACATGGTCTTGTATCTAGAAAAAAATTGATGTCCATAAGAATTAAATCCATCTATTTTAAATAAAGCTAACATCTTTTATCCTCTTCTATAAGAAAAATATTACTGGAGCATCTTATATCGAGGATTACTACAACGATGTGGTCATGACACAAGTATTAATTTTCTTATATATATATATATAATTGTTTGCATGGTTATTAATTATTAGTTTTGATAATCTTATAATATTATTTTCGTCATTAAATTGGATGCAGGGAGCGGCAAAGAATTGCCATCATCTTGTACATAAAAGGAAACCCAGATTAGTAATACGAATTTCCTTGATTAGATTGAATGGATTCGCACTTTGACACAAACTTGTCTCCTAATTATATTACTGTAATATTTAGTGTCTTTTTCCTCAAAACATTGCACAACAAATTCAGACACCACTCTTCATTACAAATTCTGCCTATGATTCCTTGCAGTTAGTATGTATCGAATCTCAATGACATAAGCACTTTTATTGTTATATCTTGTCTTTTTCAATCAACTGATTTTATGGTCTTAATTCTTTTCATATAGTAAATTTTTCCGTATAAGTAACATTTTGGTTCCTTATGTTTCGGATCCAAATTGCACTTGGCTCAATTGCAAGAAAAATATTAGCAATTGCTCCCCGAGTAAGTTCCAAACCATTCAAAAAATGATAAGTTGTTTATCTAAATGTTTCAACCAGTGTTTTACTTGCAGTCAATATGATGTTTAAATTCAATATGGTTTTTAGATTTCAAATTGGAATTTATAAATGCATTGAAGGGAATTGGTGTCTCAATATCAAGAGGATACTACATGAATTCCTACTATAAACACTGCCAAACTGAAGGGAAACATGGTTTGGAACCCACTCTCCAATCTTAAATAACAAGCTTAATATTCGTTACCAATTTTATGATTTTAATGGTGCTTTCATATTGCCCCCTTTGAGCAAAAAATGAATTACAAAATAATTTTTTTATGCAGACAATTGCAAAAGTAGTTGGAGACTAGTTTTACGATCAAAGTAAATTTCAAGAGATTGTTCGTCCTTATCCTTGTAACAAAAGTTGTCAACTCAATTGTTTAATTGAGATAATTTAAAAAGTACCATGTTATAAAAGAAAAAAAATTGAAAATTATTGTGTTGTTAAATTGAAGGAGTGATTCATTTGTAGCTTTATTGGTGTACGCGAAATCTTATTCATTTCACTATTAGTTTCTACTTTGTCCATTCTCATTCCGAGTTGTGTGTTGATTAATAATTAGATATGAGCTTAAATATGTTGTCCTTGATATGTTTGGTAAATTGTAGTAAAAAAGAATTGATATTATTAGAGTTGGTAATAAATAAACAATGAAATTAAAATAAATTTTAATACGCAAAAGATGAGATTCCTTTTGTAATGCCACACTTTTCTTTTCTTGAATTTACATATATGTATGATGCGAAATGTTAATTTATTGTCTTTGTGAATAACCACGTTTTGTAATGGAGTGTACCTTGGACGCGTTATGATCGACGTGCCAATTAAAGTTAATTATAATGCAATTCAATTGAACATATAACACATAGTATGATATTTTATAATAAGCTTATGATTTTATAATTTGTTATTAAATAAATTAAACATAGGCTTGATCTTAACATTTATATATTTTTCGTTTGATTGAATTTGTATTTGGACAGTAAAGAAGAATGGAATCAGCCCAATATTCAATGTAATGAATTTGGTAATTAGCACAATTTTGACTCCAATGAATTCGATAATTAATTAATTAGTGCAATCTTATCATTAAATAAAGGACCTAAAATTAGAAAGAAACCTTACGCATTCCTTTACTAAAAATGATTTCAGTGTTTCTTGTAATTGCAAGAATATTTCAACACACGAAGAAAATATGTAACAAATTTTTTTCCACCCACTTCTGATTTACGTTCTTGGAATTCTTGGATGTCATTTCAAGCCTCTTGTTAAGGTACTAAATTTATTTTGAAATGATTTTGGTGATTCATGTTATATCTTATAATAAAAATAAATGGGCACGTGCTCTTGTTAAATAATAGATATCACTACATATTTAAAAATGAATTAAATTATGCGTTTGAGGGGGGGGGGGTTGGTTTGTGTTACATGCACGAATTTTATGTATAAACTAGTTTGTTGCTCGTGCAGTGCACGGGCAGAGTTATTTTGAAGGTAAAATTAGTATTCGATGAGGTAAGGAAAATGAACTTAATTTAATGTGGTCAATTTACATATGATTTTACTCTTTGAAAATAGAGATGAAGCATTTAAGGTGCATGAAGAAATGAGAAGACATAATGGAATTGAAATGAGGAACTTACCTAGTTGCGTCTTATATGAATTATTGCGTCAACGTGTTGGGCCTTTGTGCTATTCCATTGGATGTTATTGTAAACCTTAGTAAGGTCCAAAGGAGCAGTCAAAGGGTAATAATAGTATATCTGGAGAGAGAGTTTAAATTTTGAGAATCTAAACTTGATAATATTGACATATGAAATGTGAAGATCTATCGTATACGATAATGGCAATCCAACATGTGCATGCAACTTGGAAAATGGTTTAAAGAAAAGTAAGAGAAGATCATACTCGGGAATTTATTTCTATATGTGGAACGTCGCCATTTCCTAGATAATTATTGATAGGGATATTCCTCAACATATTAAAAGAAGTTTTTTTTATATGTGTTGTAATTATGATCATCATATTGGATTGGCTGTTTACTTTGGTGACTTCAACCCAACAATTTTTTCTCATAACTAAGTAATAAAATAAGTTTACTTTGATTACCAATTTTAAAATCACCTAAAACCCAAGCCAAATCCCTGATTTATTTTTCTTGTCTTCCGAACCAAGTTAGTGTATTGACCAAACGAGAACCAAATGAATCCCGAGCATACATTGTAATCTGTTACATAGCTAAATGATGTCATCTCATTATTATAACAAAAAAAAAAAAATTAATTACCTTAGATCAATAATGCTAGATGTACATTTTCCCTTGCACCATGGATGACATTCCCACTATGTAGCACAATATGGGCAGTGATTTGAAAGATTGAGGGGAAAATCTAAGGAAAATGGTTCCATGAGGAAGAATACAAACCAAGATGTACAGAATGATGCACATGTAGCATGATTGTACCTTTAAGAATATCAAGGCAAATGCTTCCATTGCTATTGATGTTGGGTGGAAATCTTTTTGTTGTAAAAGCAACCAGCAACAAAGAATATATCAGCTATTTGGGTCACTGAGTTCATCAACATAATCTCCATGGAAACAATAACTATTTCGAAGAACCACAAACTCTCCAAGGATAGGGGAAAACAAACTCTTTTCAACAAGATACTAAATAAGAAATTTTGCAGTATTATTCTGAGTAATTACCAATGATATTCATAGAGTTTCAACAATGGACACAAATATGTAGTTCATGTGCTCAACATCTACCTATTAAAAGAACTTCCATGGGAAAAGAAGTTGAAATTTCAGGAAATCATTTTGCAAAACGCAGCAGGAAAAAGAACCAGGAAAAGAAGAGAATGAACATGTAAACTTATTCTGCAAAATTGCACTTGGGGATAGGGTAAATCATTCGATATTATAATATGTTTATATCGTTTAGCTTAGAAACTGATAAGGTAAGAAGGGTTTCGACACCTAGTAAGAGAAAGAAATCTTCCTGCACAGTTATCTGCTTTTCACTATCAGAGTTCGATCTAAGTACAAGTGAGCAAATGACTCAAAGATGGGAAGTTACTATACAACTAATGTAGAGGATACAAGCATATAAAAGGGTAATGGAGAGGAAAATGAATGGAAACCAAAAAATACACCTCCAGAATAAGGATTGTTGAAGGTCCCATAATCCTTGCTTGCCAATGGAATGCGTATTCTGCTACACGACCTGCATTAGATGTGAGAAGTGAATAGAATTAAACTTCAAACTTAGATCGAATACAATTGCTAAAAGCAAAAAATAGAATATAAATATCAAACTTAAAAAATGAAAAATACAAAAGTTAAATCCAACAGAAGTGTATCCCCACAATTGTAGAAATTTCTATTATACAAGGGAAAGTGATCATAAGAGATCATGTGCTCACATCAATGGACTACCATGATTTCATCATTCTTTGATTGACTCTAATTGATGTATATGCCTACAATTGACTAATGAAATTATTGCAACATTATTCACAATTTCGGAAGAAGATAACTTTTCTAAATTTTCCCTTTAAATTATCATAGTTCCACTTCCAAGCACCTAAATAATCCACAGCCTACTTGACAATAGAGATGAAACGAATAATAAGCACACCAGCAGAAATTTTCTTTTCCCTCAATAGGAAAACATCAGCAACTGCCAAAAATTAGTAAGATAATTCAAGTGGAAAGATGTACAAGTATCCATGGAAAAGAGAGTGAACTCATAACTCTGATTTTAAATTAGATAGGTATCTAGAATTGTTGATGTCTCTACTTGATTCCTCGAAAGATGCAAGAATTAGAGTGTAATCATAATTTCACATTTGAATATATGCCCCAGTTTATTTGTACCCCTCACTGCATTTTTGTGAATGTTAAAGGTTCAAGTGTCAGAAGTATGGTATGAATTCAAAATAAAAAGGGTAAAATAAATAAATTATCAGCAGTAAAAAGCTATAAACGATTCTAGAACAGCTATTCTATTTTCACAATGCAACTAAACAATAGCAATTAAGTTGGATCAACCTTAAATAGATCTTTAGTCAAAATCTCGCACAACCACAATTGCACCAGTAACATAAACACACATAAAAAAATTAGTCATTTGCCAATCAAAACGCCAAGATCCTACATAAATATCTAATAGATGTGCAAAATTAATCGATAGAGAGATATACATCCGTACGTTTTCCTTTACCTAGGACCTTGTGCAGAGGCTTTTCGCGGCCAAATAGAAGGTAGCTAGACCTTGTCCTTGACCGCAACTGCCTTCGTCTAAAAGAAAATGGTTAATTAGAAGTATATTTTCTTCAAACAAACAACTGTATTAAGATTATAATGCAAAACACAGTAATAAATTGAAGCTTACCACAACAACTTACCACTGCCAGTGGCTGTAATCACCTAAGCAAAATTTTCTCAATTTCTTTTTGGTAGGGGCAAAATTTCGAAAATCTAACATTCCTGTACTGAAAAATAATCAAATCGTTAAAAGTCTTAAAGAAAAACAAACGGATAGAAATTAAAAAAGTAGAAATTTGAGAGTTGAAAAGGAACCTTCAGGGTCGACTCCATTTCAGTGTTTATTTTTTTGTCGACTGATTAGTTAGTTCTGATGAAGAGAACACAGTCTTTGTATTCTCTACATGATATCCACAAAAGCATAGGCAAAAAAGAAGCAGAAATCTGGCCTTGTGGTCCTTGATCGCGAGCTTTAGATCCTCCTATACATCGTCGGTCACCGCAATGGATCCCAATTCTTCATCTTCATTCTTCCTCATCGACAGTGGAACGAAAATCACCTTCATTTTTTGTCTTAAGATATAGACTACGAAAGGTGTAAGAGAAGCTAAAAAGGTATATATAAGGTAGATATTTGTATGAACGGTGAAGAGTTGGATACCTAACAGGATCTGGAGTGTGAAATGGGTGGCATGGGATTGAATGGTGGAGGCCTAAACAATATTAATTGAGTGTTGGGAGTGATGAAAAATGAGATGATATCAGTCAATAATCATGGCTTGCTGTTTTTGTCCACACAGGCAACATGTGAGGAGAAATCATAGATGAATAGTAATTGAGATTCTCTCTTTTCAAGAAAAGTAGTGATAGTGAAAAAAGCACCCTGATTTCACCTTTAAAGTTCCAATAAATTTTCTTCTTTAGCTCCTATAGTACACCCAAAATGGGTGCAAAAATTTCAAGATGTACTCAACTAGATGGGCAAAGAGAATAATGAAACACAATGAAAATAAAATTTCCTAATTGCAAGAATTTAATGCTGCACGTGATTTAAAATTTAAGATAATAGTTATGATTGAAGTGTGATGTCAAGATGCTTAAATCTTTGGTGTCATTGCCTCTAGATTTGTGGTTTTCTCTCTCTCTCTCTCTCTCTCTCTCTCTCTCTCTCTCTCTCTCTCTCTCTTTTGAAATAAATTTCATATTTATTTATCGTGTCAAATAGTCAAGAAAACAAATTTCTAGATTGTTTTCACTCATTTTTGGGTTTAATAATGAAGCAAACATATTTCTTCATTTTTTTCTGAAGACCAATGAAAAAAGTAATAGGCAACTTTAGTCTAATCTGCATAGACTATCATAAAAGGGCAAAAGAATACACCACATTAAAAAACATTGCAATCTTGTGGGACGTGGATTTCAACGGATATTTTTTTTTACTTAAGCATTAAAAACATGGAGTTTTCAAATAATGAAATTCGAAAATGCTTAATAGATTGTTGAGATGGACGAGTGACTAAAAAATATAACTTGAGTTTTTGTCATCTTAAGCTACTTCATAATTTCACTCATCTATATGAGGTTTAGTTAAAAATCTTCAAATTAATTATTTTATCTTTTTGCAAAAATAAGGTTATTTAGGGAACATATGATGGGACAAAAACTTATGGGTCTTTTTTATGGTTTGTCGCGTGATTATTTAGAAAATAAAGCACTATTCTCTAGAGTCATGTAACATGTGATGTATGGTTACTTATGTAATAAAGTACTATACATTAGAGTCATGTGACATTAATGCTTTAATAGGTACTATAGAATTAATTCTATGAAATGATGGGTACAAAGTTTAAGGCACCTAATTCTAGACTAGATAAAATAGACGAAACCAATTGAAACAAATCATGTGGGTGTGCTGTGAGTACTTGATAAGTGATTTGAATTTTTACAAATATTTCAGGATGTGTTATGGGTGCTACACATGGGTTTGGGCTAGACTTCATACTTAATCTAGTTGTTGTTTTTGAGCCACATTATATTTCTAAGAATGCATTTTTGAATAATGTATTGATAAAAAATGTGTGGTTAAAAAATAAAGAAAATATTTGAATTTGAGTGTAATAATATTTTATTGAAGAATGTATGGTTCAAATAATGTCAAATCATTGTTTAAAAATGTATTTTTTTTTTAAAAATGTAACTCAAACATGGCCTTAGTACTTTCTTAGGCGATTCATCTTGTGTAGTTTGTCTTTCACAATATTTATTGCTTTCACAACTTTAAGTGATCGACTCCTGTTATTAGGCTACCTGTACATTGCTCGGGCATGGCTTGTCGTAATATGTCGTATGAATATTTCTTTAAAATGCCTATATTATCTTGTAATGAGTTGTATTTTTAATATTAACAAGTAAAATTTACTAATTTATGTTTTTCATTTTTTATGTGAAATATAAAATAGTTAACTCTTGTAAATTTAACATTTTCAAAATAGATGAATAAATAAATAAAAAATAGCGGGTATAGACTTTATGAATATCCAAGAATATTATGATATCCTAACCATGCAATAATGATAGAGTCCAAATTAATAATCCCACTTGCACCAAATAAGATTTAATAAATAGAGGGCAATCAGAGAGATCCATGTTTGAAAAGTGCTAATAAACAGTTTCATTTATTAATAAATAGAAATAAAGTCGTGGATATGGATAACAATTATATGTTCCACGAAACGTTAGAATAAAAAGTTATTTAAGTATTTATAAACATAAACAAAAAATAGAAAAAATGCTGAAGATTGAGATAAAATGAGTCTAAATTGTACACTAGGATCATGGCAGAGAAACACGGAAAAAATAAGTAAATAAAATTACACTAGGATAATACATAGGAAAGCAATCTCCATAAAAAAAATTTACCAACAAAGGAATAAAATGGACTCTCTCCACCATTGACTGGGAAGGCCTTTAAAATTATCCAAGGTTCTACTAATTTCGCTACAAGATTTTTGTAAAATAATTTTACACAAGAACCTATAATTTTTTCCTGCTCAACCTTGTTTTTTTCTAAAACATTAATTTCTCTAAAAATATTCTCAATGTCCAACGAACATTAGGTAAGCAAATTATCATCGAGCCTATTTAACTAAATCAATTCCATTTCTCTATGCAAACCAACTTTAATCAAATGAAATCTTGGTTATAGGAATTTATTTATGACCGAAATAATTCGTATAGGTATCTCTGTACATTACACCAATTTACTGGATGTACTATATGGTCTAAATCTCAAACTCACTTCTCGATTCGTAAAAGATTCACAAGATCACCAAATTAGTGATCAAGTCATTCAATGCATTAAACTCATAGCAAAATCCACACATGAAAGATGAAAGAACAAAAATTTTGAATAAAAGACATAAATGATCCCAAACAGATTACACTGTTCTCCCGAACAAGAATTTTAGCTACTCATAATGAAAGAGGAAAATTAAGATGTAATCATTGAATACGTCACAAGATTTTTACTACAGATGAAAAAAGAAATGAAGTCAACCTCGCACGAAAATCTTCTTCCTCTTCCAATCAATGTTTTAAACAGTGAATTTCTTCATGTCTTCCTTCTTTGAATTGTTTCTTTGATTTTTTATTTGTATTCTCCTCTTCTTTACCCAATAACTAATTTTACATTTTTACTTGATTGAATTCTTGCAAGTTCCTTTTAATTCTCTCACAAAAACAATGAATTTGCCTCTTCTTTGATATATGAATTGAAGGAATATTAGAGTGTATTATTCTATATGAGAGGTTTTGGAGAGGTCCTTTATATTGGCTGTCCATATTTTGTATTTATAGAGATGACATTAGTTTAAAAATCATGTAAGAAAGTGGTTTCCATGTAGAATTTGAAATGAAAAATGAAACAGGTCACGAACTGAGATTTTGGCTTGTATTGTCACGCTAGTAGGAAATGAGGCACTCACCCAAGCCAAGTTTGAAGTCATTGTTTTTTATTTCGTTAGTCGGGTGGTCACGCAGATTTATAATTGAGCATTGGCCCAGTTATAAAATCTTTCAAACTGCATTTTAGTCTCAAAATTCTATTCTTGATACTTTAAGTCATTTTATCTTACAATTTTGGTCCTTTGACTTCCAATTGAGCCCGTAACATCCTCAACCTTCATTTCATGGTTTTAATCAGCTATTGGAATGTAGCAATTTAATCTGCATACTTTGGATTTCACCTTTTTTTTTTCATTAATTTTCACTTCTTTATTTCAATTCCTCGTTCGAGCATTGAATTTTACCTATATAACATAAAATACAACAATTTTAGAATATATTTTGTCAAAAGGATTACCAAATATCGCTAATTTAGTAAACATAACTTGAGTAATATCTAGCACTGGATTTGAGTCCGTCAATCAATCATAACATATGCAAAGGTGTAGAGATGCTAACCACTTAATTGGAATAGGTTTCCTTGTTAAAATTGTGAGTTTTCATTTGATCAAGCAGTCATTCCTACAATATTCGAGAATTCATTCAATGTGTTTGCAATGTAGTTTTCAATTCTATTTTTCAAATGACTGTACAATAAACCATGGAAATTTATTATGCAACTGATTGCTTGAAATATGTATCTTAACTTCTTCTTTAAAGTTCCAAAAAATTTGCTTTCTTAGCTTTAGTAATACAACCAGATTGGAGCACAATTCACTATGTACTCGACTAGAAAGGCAAAAAGTAGAATGAAATAAGATAAAAGTAAAATTTTATGACTGCGTTAATTTAAGATAGTGTGATTGAGTCAAGTAGGGTGAGTCCTGGTATCATTGCCTCAGAATTTGTGATAACTTGCATTTATTTGTGAATACTTAAGAAATAACGGAATGCATAATATATTTGTGGAAATGCACGCGGTGTAATTACATTACGTATCAACATGGTGGATTTAATAATTTTATCAAAGGGTAATATATTGGAGCATTTAAGAACCATATTGACAAATGAGTTTGGTAGCTTTATAAATTTCCTACTAGAGAGCTCATCAATGTGTACCAGTCAAGTTTTGTACCTGGATTACAAAATTCTGTAATTTCAAAATATAAATTATTTTTTTATTACATTTTGTTTCCTATTTGAATTCTAATTGAGAATTTGAGGATTATTGTGCGTCAAATGTCAGGGCACAAGCTCAACAATTGTTTAATAATTTGATATATTTTGGGTACTTAAAATTTTCAATTTTCTATTTAGAGGAATTTCAATAATATTTCACAATTTTTATGTAACTATATATTAGGCTAGTCCAGTGTTTAACTCGTAACTATAGGATATTCTCATTTAGTCAAAATAAGAGATTCTTTGAGTTCCACGAAAATTAAGTAATGAATAGCATTTCTTTTTCTATTGGCAATTTGTCATGCTCCACTCATTATAGTCAAAGTCAAGAAATTATTTAGTTAAAGTAAAAAATTCAACAAGTTAAAGTTAGTCAAAATAAGGATCTAAGTTGAACAAATGATTTCATGGGACTTAATTTGCTAATACTAATATTAAAAGGGGTTAGAGATAAAATAATGGGATTAGGCAATTCAATTTTTATGTGTGTGTGAGAGAGAGAGAGAAATGTGAAGGATAATGATCATATTCCACCATCATGATGATAAATAAGATTACTCTTATATGTATTGGACAAACCAAAGGAACATAATTATTTCAAGAGAAAATTGCAGCCTCGGTCCCTAACCATTTCAATTTTTATAGACTTTACCCTAACTTTCAATTTGTGCCAACGAAAATCCCTAACGCTTTCATAGATATGTAGCAGGAGTCATATATATGGAAATCATCCAACTGATCAAAATTTTGATTTTGACCAAATTTGATAAGAGCAAAATGGTAACTTTGCTATTTTTTCACATAAAACAATTAAATAGTTAAAACAAAACATAAAGACTTGCTTTAGCCCCATGGGAAACATGGTTTGGATCCCACTCTCCGATCTTAAATAAAAAGGTTAATGTTCGTTACCAATTTTATGATTTTAATGGTGCTTTCATATTGCCCCCTTTGAGCAAAAACGAACTAACAAAATATTTTTTTTATGCAGACAATTGCAAAAATAGTTGGAGACTAGTTTTACGATCAAAGTAAATTTCAAGAGATTGTTCGTCCTTATCCTTGTAACAAAGGTTGTCCAACTCAATTGTTTAATTGAGATAATTTAATAAGTACCATGGTATAAAAGAAAAAAAATTGAAAATTATTGTGCTGTTAAATTGAAAGAGTGATTCATTTGTAGCTTTATTGGTGTACGCGAAATCTTATTCATTGCACTATTAGTTTCTACTTTGTCCATTCTCATTCCGAGTTGTGTGTTGATTAATAATTAGATATGAGCTTAAATATGTTGTCCTTGATATGTTTGGTAAATTGTAGTAAAAAACAATTGATATTATTAGAGTTGGTATTAAATAAACAGTGAAATTAAAATAAATTTTAATACACAAAAGATGAGATTCCTTTTGTAACGCTGCACTCTTCTTTTCTTGAATTTACATATATGTATGATGCGAAATGTTAATTTATTGTCTTTGTGAATAAACACGTTTTGTAATGGAGTGTGCCTTGGATGCCTTATGATCGACGTGCCAATTAAAGTTAATTATAATGCAATTCAATTGAACATATAACACATAATATGATATTTTATAATAAGCTTACGATGTTATAATTTGTTATTAAATAAATTAAACATAGGCTTGATCTTAACATTTATATATTTTTCGTTTGATTGAATTTGTATTTGGACAGTAAAGAAGAATGGAATCAGCCCAATATTCAATGTAATGAATTTGGTAATAAGCACAATTTTGACTCCAATGAATTCGATAATTAATTAATTAGTGCAATCTTATCATTAAATAAAGGACCTAAAATTAGAAAGAAACCTTACGCATTCCTTAACTAAAAATGATTTCCGTGTTTCTTGTAATTGCAAGAATATTTCAACACACGAAGAAAATATATAACAAATTTCTTTCCACCCACTTCTGATTTACGTTCTTGGAATTCTTGAATGTCATTTCAAGTCTCTTGTTAAGGTACTAAATTTATTTTGAAATGATTTTGGTTATTCATGTTATATCTTATAATATAAATAAATGGTCACGTGCTCTTGTTAAATAATAGATATCACTACATATTCAAAAACGAATTAAATTATGCGTTTGAGGCCCGGGGGGGGGGGGGGGGGGGGGTTGGTTTGTGTTACATGCATGAATTTTATGGATAAACTAGCACGGGTGGAGTTATTTTGAAGGTAAAATTAGTATTCGATGAGGTAAGGAAATTGAACTTAATTTAATGTGGTCAATTTACATTTGATTTTACTCTTTGAAAAATAGAGATGAAGCATTTAAGGTGCATGAAGAAATGAGAAGACATAATGGAATTGAAATGAGGAACTTACCTAGTTGCGTCTTATATGAATTATTGCGTCAACGTGTTGGGCCTTTGTGCTATTCCATAGGATGTTATTGTAAACCTTAGTAAGGTCCAAAGGAGCAGTCAAAGGGTAATAATAGTATATCTGGAGAGAGAGTTTAAATTTTGAGAATCTAAACTCGATAATATTGGCATACGAAATGTGAAGATTTATCATATACGATAATGGCAATCCAACATGTGCATGCAACTTGGAAAATGGTTTAAAGAAAAGTAAGAGAAGATCATACTCGGGAGTTTATTTCTATATATGGAACGTCGCCGTTTCCTAGATAATTATTGATAGGGATATTCCTCAGCCTATTAAAAGAAGTTTTTTTTATATGTGTTGTAATTATGATCATCATATCAGATCGGCTATTTACTTTGGTGACTTCAACCCAACAATTTTTTCTCATAACTAAGTAATAAAATAAGTTTACTTTGATTACCAATTTTAAAATCACCAAAAACCCAAGCCAAATCCCTGCTTTATTTTTCGTGTCTTCCGAACCAAGTTAGTGTATTGACCAAACAAGAACCAAATGAATCCCGAGCATACATTGTAATCTGTTACATAGCTAAATGATGAAGCCAATGCATAAGACTGTGGAACCAGTCATAAATGGGAACGCGAACACAGACAATAATGTATGATATATCAAGTGTGGAAACCCATACATTAAAATTAATTTAGTCCAAGTTTGAACGTGTATAGCCACAATTCATTAAATGATGTCATCTCATTATTATAACAAAAAAAAATTAATTACCTTAGATCAATAATGCTAGATGTACATTTTCCCTTGCACCATGGATGACATTCCCACTATGTAGCACAATATGGACAATGATGTGAAAGATTGCTGGGAAAATCAAAGGAAGATGGTTCCATGAGGAAGAATACAAACCAAGGTGTACAGAATGATGCACATGTAGCATGATTGTACCTTTAAGAATATCAAGGCAAATGCTTCCATTGCTATTGATGTTGGGTGGAAAACTTTTTGTTGTAAAAGCAACCAGAAACAAAGAATAAATCGGCTATTTGGGTCACAGAGTTCATCAACATAATCTCCATGGAAACAATAACTATTTTGAAGAACCACAAGCTCTCCAAGGATAGGGGAAAACAAACTCTTTTCAACAAGATACTAAATAAAAATTTTTGCATTATTGTTCTGAGTAATTACCAATGATATTCATAGAGTTTCAACAATGGACACAAATATATAGTTCATGTGCTCAACATCTACCTATTCAAAGAACTTCCATGGGAAAAGAAGTTGAAATTTCAGGAAATCATTTTGCGAAACGCAGCAAGAAAAAGAACCAGACAAGAAGAGAATGAACTCGTAAACTTATTCTGCAAAATTGCACTTGGGGATAGGGTAAATCATTCCATATTATAATATTTTTATATCGTTTAGCTTAGAAACTGATAAGGTAAGAAGGGTTTCGACACCTAGTAAGAGAAAGAAATCTTCCTATGCACAGTTATCTGCTTTTCACTATTAGAGTCGATCAAAATACAAGTGAGCAAATGACTCAAAGATGGGAAGTTACTATACAACTAATGTAGAGGATACAAGCATATAAAAGGGTAATCGAGAGGAAAATGAATGGAAACCAAAAAATACACCTCCAGAACAAGGACTGTTGAAGGTCCCATAATCCTTGCTTGCCAATGGAATGCGTATTCTACTACACGACCTGCATTAGATGTGAGAAGTGAATAGAATTAAACTTCAAACTTAGATCGAATACAACTGCTAAAAGCAAAAATAGAATATAAATATCAGACTTAAAAAATGAAAAATACAAAAGTTAAATCCAACAGAAGTGTATCCCCACAAATGTAGAAATTTCTATTATACAAGGGAAAGTGATCATAAGAGATCATGTGCTCACATCAATGGACTACCATGATTTCATCATTCTTTGATTGACTCTAATTGATGTATATGCCTACAATTGACTAATGAAATTATTGAAACATTATTCACAATTTCTAAAGAAGATAACTTTTCTAAATTTTCCCTTTAAATTATCATAGTTCCACTTCCAAGCACCTAAATAATCCACAGCCTACTTTACAATAGAGATGTAACGAATAATAAGAACACCAACAGAAATTTTCTTTTCCCTCCATAGGAAAACATCAGCAGTTGCCAAAAATTAGTAAGATAATTCAAGTGGAAAGATGTACAAGTATCCATGAAAAGGAGAATGAACTCATAACTCTGATTTTAAATTAGATAGGTACCTAGAATTGTTGATGTCTCTACTTGATTCCTCGAAAAATGCAAGAATTAGAGTGTAATCATAATTTCACATTTGAATATATGCCCCAGTTTATTTGTACCCCTCACTACATTTTTGTGAATGTTAAAGGTTCAAGTGTCAGAAGTATGGTACGAATTCAAAATAAAAAGGGTAAAATAAATAAATTATCAGCAGTAAAAAGCTATAAACTATTCTAGAACAGCGATTCTATTTTCACAATGCAACTAAACAATAGCAATTAAGTTGGATCAACCTTAAATAGATCTTTAGTCAAAATCTCACACAACCACAATTGCACCAGTAACATAAACACACATAAAAAAATTAGTCATTTGCCAATCAAAATGCCAAGATCCTACATAAATATCTAATAGATGTGCAAAATTAATCGATAGAGAGATATACATCCGTACGTTTTCCTTTACCTAGGACCGTGTGCAGAGGCTTTTCGCGGCCAAATAGAAGGTAGCTAGACCTTGTCCTTGACCGCAACTGCCTTCGTCTAAAAGAAAATGGTTAATTAGAAGTATATTTTCTTCAAACAAACAACTGTATTAAGATTATAATGCAAAACACAGTAATAAATTGAAGCTTACCACAACAACTTACCACTGCCAGTGGCTGTAATCACCTAAGCAAAATTTTCTCAATTTCTTTTTGGTAGGGGCAAAATTTCGAAAATCTAACATTCCTGTACTGAAAATTAATCAAATCGTTAAAAGTCTTAAAGAAAAACAAATGGATAGAAATTAAAAAAGTAGAAATTTGAGAGTTGAAAAGGAACCTTCAGGGTCGACTCCATTTCAGTGTTTAATTTTTCGTCGACTGATTAGTCAGTTCTGATGAAGAGAACACAGTCTTTGTATTCTCTACATGATATCCACAAAAGTATAGGCAAAAAAGAAGCAGAAATCTGGCCTTGTGGTCCTTGATTGCGAGCTTTAGATCCTCCTATACATCGTCGGTCACCGTAATGGATCCCAATTCTTCGTCTTCATTCTTCCTCATCGACAGTGGAACGAAAATCACCTTCATTTTTGTCTTAAGATATAGACTACGAAAGGTGTAAGAGAAGCTAAAAAGGTATATATAAGGTAGATATTTGTATGAACGGTGAAGAGTTGGATACCTAACAGGATCTGGAGTGTGAAATGGGTGGCATGGGATTGAACGGTGGAGGCCTAAACAATATTAATTGAGTGTTGGGAGTGATAAAAAATGAGATGATATCAGTCAATAATCATGGATTGCTATTTTTGTCCACACAGGCAACATGTGAGGAGAAATCATAGATGAATAGTAATTGAGATTCTCTCTTTTCAAGAAAAGTAGTGATAGTGAAAAGAGCACTCTGACTTCACCTTTAAAGTTCCAATAAATTTTCTTCTTTAGCTCCAATAGTACACCCAAAATGTGTGCAAAAATTTCAAGATGTACTCAACTAGATGGGCAAAGAGAATAATGAAACACAATGAAAATAAAATTTCCTAATTTCACGAATTTAATGCTGCACGTGATTTAAAATTTAAGATAATAGTTATGATTGAAGTGTGATGTCAAGATGCTTAAATCTTTGGTGTCATTGCCCCTAGATTTGTGGTTTTCTCTATTTTTTTTTGAAATAAATTTCATATTTATTTATTGTGTCAAATAGTCAAGATAAACAAATTTCTAGATTGTTTTCACTTGTTTTTGGATCTAATAATGAAGCAAACATATTTCTTCATTGTTTTTCTGAAGACCAATGAAAAAAGTAATAGGCAACTTTAGTCTAATCCGCATAGACTATTATAAAAAGGCAAAAGAATAAACTACATTAAAAAACATTGCAGTCTTGTGGGACGTGGATTTCAACATTGCAAAAGAATACACCACATTTGATCAAGCAGTCATTCCTACAATATTCGAGTATTCATTCAAGGTGTTTGCAATGTAGTTTTTGATTCTATTTTTCAAATGACTGTACAATAAACCATGGAAATTTATTATGCAACTGATTGCTTGAAATATGTATCTTAACTTTTTCTTTAAAGTTCCAAGAAATTTGCTTTCTTAGCTTTAGTAATACAACCAGATTGGAGCACAATTCACTATGTACTTGACCAGAAAGGCAAAAAGTAGAATGAAATAAAATAAAAGTAAAATGTTATGACTGCATTAATTTAATGCAGCGCATAATTTAGGATAGTGTGATTGAGTCAAGTAGGGTGAGTCCTAGTATCATTGCCTCAGAATTTGTGATAACTTGCATTTATTTTTGAATACATAAGAAATAATGGAATGCATAATATATTTGTGGAAATGCACGCGGTGTAATTACATTACGTATCAACATGGTGGATTTAATAATGTTAGCAATTAAGTAATTAATAGCATTTCTTTTTCTATTGGCAATTTGTCATGCCCCACTCATTATAGTCAAAGTCAAGAAATTATTTAGTTAAAGTAAAAAATTTTACAAGTTAAAGTTAGTCAAAATAAGGATTTAAGTGGAACAAATGATTTCATGGGACTTAATTTGCAAATACTAATATTAAAAGGGGTTAGAGATAAAATAATGGGATTAGGCAATTCAATTTTTATGTGAGAGAGAGAGAAATGTGAAGGATAATGATCATATACCACCATCATGATGATAAATTAGATTACTCTTATATGTATTGGACAAACCAAAGCAACATAATTCTTTCAAGAGAAAATTGCAGCCTCGGTCCCTAACCATTTCAATTTTTATAGACTTTACCCTAACTTTCAATTTGTACCAACGAAAATCCCTAACCCTTTCAGAGATATGTAGCAGGAGTCATATAGACGGAAATCATCCAACTGATCAAAAATTTGATTTTGACCAAATTTGATAAGAGCAAAATGGTAACTTTGCTATTTTTTCACATAAAACAATTAACTAGTTAAAACAAAACATAAAGACTTGCTTTAGCCCCATGGGAAACATGGTTTGGATCCCACTCTCCGATCTTAAATAGCAAGGTTAATGTTCGTTAACAATTTTATGATTTTAACGGTGCTTTCATATTGCCCCCTTTGAGCAAAAACGAATTAACAAAATCATTTTTTTATGCAGACAATTGCAAAAGTAGTTGGAGACTAGTTTTACGATCAAAGTAAATTTCAAGAGATTGTTCATCCTTATCCTTGTAACAAAGGTTGTCCAACTCAATTGTTTAATTGAGATAATTTAATAAGTACCATGTTATCAAAGAAAAAAATTGAAAATTATTGTGTTGTTAAATTGAAGGAGTGATTCATTTGTAGCTTTATTGGTGTACGCGAAATCTTATTCATTGCACTATTAGTTTCTACTTTGTCCATTCTCATTCCGAGTTGTGTGTTGATTAATAATTAGATATGAGCTTAAATATGTTGTCCTTGATATGTTTGGTAAATTGTAGTAAAAAATAATTGATATTATTAGAGTTGGTATTAAATAAACAGTGAAATTAAAATAAATTTTAATACACAAAAGATGAGATTCCTTTTGTAACGCTGCACTCTTCTTTTATTGAATTTACATACATGTATGATGCGAAATGTTAATTTATTGTCTTTGTGAATAACCACGTTTTGTAATGGAGTGTGCCTTGGATGCCTTATGATCGACGTGCCAATTAAAGTTAATTATAATGCAATTCAATTGAACATATAACACATAATATGATATTTTATAATAAGCTTACGATGTTATAATTTGTTATTAAATAAATTAAACATAGGCTTGATCTTAACATTTATATATTTTTCGTTTGATTGAATTTGTATTTGGACAGTAAAGAAGAATGGAATCAGCCCATTATTCAATGTAATGAATTTGGTAATAAGCACAATTTTGACTCAATGAATTCGATAATTAATTAATTAGTGCAATCTTATCATTAAATAAAGGACCTAAAATTAGAAAGAAACCTTACGCATTCCTTTACTAAAAATGATTTCCGTGTTTCTTGTAATTGCAAGAATATTTCAACACACGAAGAAAATATATAACAAATTTCTTTCCACCCACTTCTGATTTACGTTCTTGGAATTCTTGGATGTCATTTCAAGCCTCTTGTTATGGTACTAAATTTATTTTGAAATGATTTTGGTTATTCATGTTATATCTTATAATATAAATAAATGGGCACGTGCTCTTGTTAAATAATAGATATCACTACATATTGAAAAATGAATTAAATTATGCATTTGAGGGGGGGGGGGTTGGTTTGTGTTACATGCATGAATTTTTTTATTCGTTTTTGTGTCTAATACTGAAGGAAACATATTTCTTCATTGCTATTATTTGGTTGGACGAAATTTTTTTTGTGTGGAAAAGTATTTTACAGAAGACCAATGAAAAAAGTAATAGGCAAGTTATATAATCTAATCCTCACGGACTATCATACAAATACAAAAGAATAGACCAGATTAAAAAACCTTTCAATCTTATGGGACGTGGATTTCAATGGATATTTTTTTTTATTTAAGCGTTAAAAAATGGAGTTTTCAAATAATTAAATTCAAAAATACTTAATTGATTGCTGAGTTATACTACTGTCTAAAACACATCACTTGAATTTTATCATCTTAAGCTAACTCATAAGAATAATGCAATTCATAGTGAAGACTATCGAAAGTCCCCCAACATATCATGCACACGACAATTTGTTATTTGATCCATAAGGCAATAAAAAAATGTCATGTATGTGGCTCATATAGAGTGGAACACATTTTCTGGATCAAATTTGCCAATGCCAGAGCGGAGCAGAGTGGATCGACGGCATCGATCTTGTGCGAGTTTAATTCACTGTCTGGTTATTATAGACGCTAATGCTCCACAACGTCCCTGTGGTACAATACAGGGGGATTTTCTTGTACGGCCTTAAAATTTTGAATGGACTTGCTGTTTTTCATACTGAATAAAATTTTCTTCACTTTACTCTCGTGCACAAGGCACACTGTCAAACCAAGTAAATACTTACGTTGATTTCTCTCTTTCATCTCTTTATTATTGCTGTAAAATTTAACAATAGGTATCAGAGCAAGGTTCAAACGGCGAGTTCTTTGATTGTAAAATTCAATGTGATGAAGTTTGATGGATCTGGGAATTTCAAATTATAGCAGCGAAGGGTGAAAGATTTTTTGGCGTAGCAAGGGATGGTGAATGCACTATTCAAGAAGGAGCTAGAGGGTACATCAGATGCCAATTGGGAAGAGCTCGAGGCGTGAGCAGTTGGTACATTTGGCTTTGTTTGGCGGACGAGATCATGTATTACATTATGGATGTGAGTCTCCGATAGAGGTTTGGGAGAAATTGGAGCGTCGTTATATGTGGAAGTCTCTCACGAAGAAGCTGCATCAGAAGCATCGACTGTACGAGCTCAAGATGTTGGAGGGTACGGATTCGATTCAACAAACCAATAAGTTCAGTCAAATTACCAGTGATTTATTTCAACTTGAAATCAAATTTGATGATGAAGACAAGGCAATGATATAGTGGTGCTCTCTTTCTCCTTCGTACGACAGTCATTTATATGCCACATAGGGTGACTGTCGATTGTCTTTAACATGAATAGCATTACTCAATTCATAATTTAACTCAGCTATATGAGCTTTAATTAAAAACTCTTCAAACTACTTATTTTATCTTTTTGCAAAAATAGGTACATGTGATAATTATTATTATTATTTTTTTACCTATTTTCCGTTTTAATGGGCTGTTTTTGTGGTTTGCTTTGTGGTTATTTAGGGAATATATGATATAGCAAAAAGTTATGGGTCATTTTTATGGTTTGTTGTGTGACTATTTAGGAAATAAAGTACTATTTTCTAGGGTCATGTGCTATATAATGTATGGTTATCTAAGTAATAAAGTACTATACCTTGAAGTTTTGAATGGGTTTAAATTAGGGTTAGTATAAATAATAATGTTATATCCTATTTTTCATACTGGATAAAATTTTCTCTGCTTCAGTCTCGTGGACGTAGGTACACCCTGAACCTTGTAAATACTTCTGTTGATTTTTATCTTTTATCTCTT